GCATGAATATATTTATGAAGGATGATATTTTAAATTCTACTAGGTGAATCCTAGTAGCCATACAGCTCTTTTCATTCCAATCGTACAGTCTGTGTTTTCTTTTTAGATATCGGCGTGAGCAAGTACGATGGCATTCAAGCACATTTCTCAAGGACATCGTGCAGGTGACACGGCAATTCGTAGCATACGTTTAAACTGTTGCTAAATTTCATTATGAGCAAGAGTCTTTTTTAAACCAGACCAGAGGATCCCACATTTAGAATTTCATGCAATACAATATTTCTGTTGAAATGTACAAGAAAATGACAAGTTTATTTATGTTCACATCAAATTTTCCATAATGTTTAGGGGTAAATGACAAAGGCTAGATACAGATGTTTTTTAAACTGTTAGCAGTCGGACGTACCGCCCACGGGACATTGGATGGTTTAGGGGACTAATAGGACTGCTAAGGGGTTAACAAACACTCCTTAAAGTGGACTTGATGAATTTATATGAAGATAACTGCACAGCAAGACCTAAAATATGACAAATCAAGTGTGAAAGAGAATTTTGATGTGGCATAAAATAAAAACAAAATACAAAAGATCTATACAAAGTTTTTCAGCAGCAGCAGCTCACTTCAGAAGGCTTCTGATAGTGAGACAACTCCCCCTACTGAGGAACAAGAAGTACTGCAATGGCCATTGCTTTTGTGGTATGCACAGCAAACAAGTTATGGTTTAAAATAAAAGAATCCTAATACTCAACTCATATCTCATCTCTTGCATCCTGATCCAGGTACAATGCATCTGGATCTATCTGAATTTTGTAAAACACTCTCCACGCAAGAGACTGGCGACCTGTTCAGAACTGCTCTCCCTATGACAGCTGGAACAGGCTCCAGCTACCTCTTGCTTCTCTGAATTGGAAAAGCAGGAAAGAAAATGGATAGATGGACCCGACTCCCAGTAATCTGGCAGTTTCTGTGTCTTCTGTAACACAGTTTTAATACAGTGTGGTTATACTTCCTTCCATCACCAGTAAAGCAGAGTGATATTCACCAGATTTGACCATGATACACCTTAAATGCACTTACATGTGCTGTTACGCTGAGCTGTGTTAGACTTGTGACCTTTACCCTATGACAGTTGTGATAGTCACCAGCACTCCCGAGGAAGCGGACGGATGGAGTTAAGTTAAACAGCTCAGTCCTGGAAGTGCTTTTTAAGTTTTTTTAGGTGAATAGTAGAATTTGTTAATATTACATAAATGACGTATTTGTAAAAATGCAGAAAATGTAGAAAGCGTCCCTTTTTTCACTGCACCACAGCTACTGTTAACAAGTGAATGGGCATCCACCCTTTAAACAGAATGACAGGCAGACATTCAGCCAGGCACACTGGCGTCTTGTTCAGTTACAGCGTACATAACATGCTGACCTTGGTCTGTCCCCTGACTCGAGCATTGTTCTTCCTTTCTCTGACGTACATTATGGCTCCCTTTTCTGTCCTTAACTGTGTTTTTGACTGAACTTTTCTCACACACAAACACATCCCTTGACACCCACATCCTAAGCTCTGCTTTTGTTCCCAGGATGTTTAGTTTTTCCCCTTATCACTATATCAAAGAAGGGGAAAAAAATATTTTGTCTGTAAACTAAATTAAAAAGAACTGCTTTTCTGGTTTTATGATCAGTTATTCTTTTGCTAGAAAAGTGCAGCTATGTCAAGCATTTTCAGATTCATGTTTCCCAATTGTGAGGATTTGCTGAGTTTTGTAATTCTAAATTAAATATTTTGGTTTTAAATTGTTTAAAAAATAATTTAGTGCATTTGTGTCCTTAATCTTGGAGCAACTTTTGAGTCTAAGTACAGATATACTCTGTATAAGTGGACCTTGAGCAAAAAGTTTAAAACCTGTCCATATGCCATGAAATGAGATGCAGAACTGATTCCAGTTATTGTTCGTTTGTTGTTGTTGTTGCTTGTGATGTGCTCATGGGAAACCAGGCTGACGGATTTCAGAAAACATTCTGTTGTGTGTGTGTGAGAGTGACCAGAGTCCAGATGTTATTTGATGGCTGAATGACACAGAGCCGGGGGTTGGAGGTCAAAACACATACTTGCACACACACCCTCCCTCCTGTTTTCTTCCCTTGTAGCGTGGGAATTGGCCAAGGGGCCTCAAACATCACACCAGGAAGGAGACAAGAGGTGAGGGGGAGAGGAGGAAAACAGACCAGGGAATAATTTATACCACTGAGGCCCAGTCTTAGCAAATAGTGAGTTTTCTCCAAGGCTCAGGTTAGCATTAGAATACAGTGTGTGTCTTCTCGTTGCATTATGTCACTAAGAAAGGAAAGACAGAGAAACGTGTCTGTGTGACAGTCCAGGGAGTAAAGAGGGTTTGTTTGCTTTCCACCTCAAGCCTATTGTATATTTGATCTGAACACAGCAGAAAAACAGCCTGCTTCCCTTCGTCCAGCAGCCTGCCAAACAGATCTTTCCTCTCACTGTCACTCTGTGCAGTTTGCACGCTCTGTGCGTGTGCGAACGTCATCACGACAGCAAGGCAGGGCACGGGAAGAACAAGCAGCGAAAGTATTTGTGCAAACCCAGATTTGAGCATTGCAAAAAGAAAGGAGGCCCTGTGTTCAAACTCTTCTCCCGCACAAACTGTGAATTCTAGTGAGTTAATGATAAACATGCTGCGCTACATTAGGGAGCAGAACAGCATTTTCTGTGCTGATAAAAATGTGCTTTTTTTTTCCTGAAAGAAAAATACATTACCCACACACAGGCAACAAGCAAAACACGCTAGATATCTTCCAGTTGTTCGTGATATCACCGGTGCTTTTCTTAGCCCTCCATTATCTTGCGAGGGAGTAGCAATCCTGTGAGAGTCACAGGATCGCACAAGGTGATCTTGGAAGTGATCTCCATTTATTCTGACAATAACAAATGAAATAGAAACAACAGCTTCAGGCTCATCTCCCACAAGGGAACAGTCCAAAAGAGTTAATCAGTGTGTGGCGCTAGCAGCAGGTTTAGAGTGGTCGCTGAATGGACACTTTTCA